ATGTTATATCAAACATTTAGTTTGTGTTTTTACAACAAATTTGTGTTGGATAAAAACTTCCAACATTTTTGTTGTGATTCCACAACAGATATTTTTAACAGTGTACGTTGATCAACTTTTCATCATTATCAATCCTTTGTTTTCTTGACACTGATATTTAGTCAGAGATTATTTAGGAAAATTTTAAATAAAGTCATCGTAAACGTTGTAATGAATTCTTTGATATATACTACACTTCGAAAATATAAGATCATTGATATAATAATGCAATGAAGCAATTAGCAAACTAATAAGAGCGTGATCGGCTTAATTTATAGAAAAATTTAGTTAATAAAATTTTAATACAGATACGTTATATTTGATTAGAGCTAAAATGCAATTATATTAATAATGCAGATCAGACAGTAGCATCGATAATTGATTGACTACATAATAATAATCTTAAATTTGGCATTAATCAATTTGATTAGCCGCCCGATGCAAATCCTACTGAAAATGTTCGTGCATATATTAAGCACAAGCTTTGTGGAAGCTTTGTGGACAAATATTCAATCTAAAGCAATTATTTCCAGAGATTTGTAGATATCGAGATCCTTGCCGCATGAATACACTATTAAAAAAACCCATTACCTACGTCTTTTAAAAAAAATGTTCATAAAAATTATTTTGCAACAACTGTAATGCAATAGGTGCGTTCGGTAGTCGGACTATCAGTGCTATTTGCATCACATTATTCATGTACGTGTCTCATGAACAATGAAGATGAAAGGATGCAAATAGCTCTAATAGCGTAAGCCCGAACGCAGTCATTGTATGTCGAATAAACTCATAAACGCAGTTGAAGACCAGAATGTCGGAACACACTTGAGACTTTACATCAGAAGAAATACAGGTACTCATTCGTTTGTTACTGAATTATCACAGATTGTATCATGGTCATGATTTTAAGTGGAATCATGTTGAAATTTTAGATGTTGATCGAAATTACAAGGAACAACTGATTTCAGAAATAACTACATAATAATAAGCGGTAAAAGGATGGCAATTCATTAATTTGAATTCATTATACATGGAATTGCTTAATCTAAGCCTATCATTATTACTTATTATTAGATATTCATTAATTATTTATATTCTTTTATAACATTTTTTTCTTTGATCTGATTTCAACGATTTCAACTTTAGCTTACGAATTACTCTATCACATAAAACCGTCACATTATAATTTTAATTCCGTATCTTTACCGTATTATGTTCTTTTTTTTTAATGGGAGAACCGTGCATTTCTTTTGATATATTTTTTGTTGAGTACATCCGTCTGCGTTTCTAAAGTCATGCTTGAATCTTAAATTTCGATCTTAATATTACGATCAATGATCTTTTACACAATGGAATTAATTTCAAGAACTCAACTTGAGATCATTCAGCCTTTTAACTGGTTATGGGATAAAGACTTCCCGTACCGTTCGGGTTGAAAGTATGATTATATGAGATTGCGTGGACGGATTATATAGCATAATAAGTTAATTGATTGCAACAATTTGTATCTACATTTTTATTGCGCTCATGAAGGCTAGAAAATAGCCAAAATATACGTTTTATTATATGATTTAATTGTTTGTTATCGTGTGTATATATATATATATATATGATTAAATTTATTTTATTATATGACTCAAAGATTAGTTTTTGTAACATCGGTTAAATATAATTTTTTATAATGAATAATTAGCGCAATATTTACAGCGCCAATTTCTAGAAGCCCTAATTTCATTTTTTTTATTCGTAATTTACAAAAAATTGAAGAGAAAAGAAAGATTGCGATCATGTGTAGGAAGAGAGATCATGACTGGGAAGAGGGATATAAAATATTCCCACACAGTATAATTTAATTTTACATATCGAATACGTGCACATCACAGTTATTAAAGCAATATACAAAGATCGGTCCAAATCAGTAATAAACCAATAAATAATAAACAATAAACCGAACATTAATTTAGTTGATATCAAGATTATAAAAGAAAAAGAAATTAATTAGAATTCCCGATATGCAATTGCAACGCGCCAGGCTTATGGAAAAATTTTCGTATACATCACAAATATCACATTCGACGAGATTTCAATGTGAAACACACATGTATGATGTTAACAAAAAAAAAAACAAAAAATCGGTTTACGTTCTTAATTGAAACATATCTCAAATGTGTGTAATACAATGCGACCGCCTTAAATATGGACACAAAGAAAAAAAACGATGATAAAGTCAATAAATTAAACGATCTGAGGAAATAATGAGGAAAGAACGGGAAGAGTGAAACAAATATGTATAGAGAGCCGGCTAGAAAAAGAGAAAAAACATAATAAAAATTTCGTCGCAAGTAAATCATTACAAATATCATTTATTTTTGTACAATGGCAGGGACAATGATTTGTCGACAAAATTCTTCATTTCCAATTCCATTTTCAGAAATGGCTCTAAAGACATCGATATGGCTAAATCTAAGCTTCGTGGAGAAGATTTTGCGAAAATCGGAAAATGATAATTCGATTAAGGTGACCGATATATTTTCGAAACCAGCCACAAGCAAGGGTGACAACCACACCAGCGACATGATCAGGATTACTGCCGAATATTCGCGCGACCAAGGCAGTTGTAAGATTAAAGAGAAAAAGTCAATTATCCTTAAAATCTTGCCTGAACTCGGAAGTGTTAAACAAAAATTTGTAAGTTGATTTAATGTGTACAATTTTATAATTTAGAGAGGAAAAAGAGAGGGGGGAAAAAGAAGAGAGAGAGAGAGAGAGAGAGAACTGTGGCAAATTTTATTATTTCCGAGTACATTTCTATTCAACAGAAAGATTCGGACAATTATTCTTAGGTAATCAATGATTAAAATTAAAACATTTTTATGAATCATCTTCAAAGAAGCGGATATTATATGTATATATTTAGCGGACAAATATATATTTAAAGAAAACGTTCTTTATTTGTTTAAAAACAAACTTTAAATTTGAAACTTTCTACTACACAAATATATAGGCTTTTATATAAAACATAATTGCATATTTGTTAGATTAAAAGGCTCGATTTATTAATTTTAAATGAACTTGTGAGTACAGGTCATAGAATCAGGTCTCTTTCACACCGAGACGTCGATGATGTCAAATACTTTGAATAAAATGAATAAGTTGTTAGAACCGAAGTATCGCTTGAGTGGAAAGACTCTCTACGTGCAAAATGAAGATCCAATGCTTATGGCGATCGAAGATCTCGCGTCCCTCGGCTTTCGAATGGCCGATCGTTTATCTGGTCTTGACTTAGATCATTCCATATTGGCGAGTTGTAATCTAGCCAGGTTTCATGCAGCTTCTGTAGCTCTATGTGAGAAGGTAAGTAAATTACCACGCGATGTACTCACAATTAGTCGTAACGTCTTATTGCAATTATTACGAATTCAGATCAATGGCATGAATACGAGGACTATTCTTTTTTTAAAATGCCTTTTCGACAACTCATGTTATCTGGGCTATCTCGTAACTATCTCTAAAAAAAATCTGTTCTAAATTCATCAGAAAATTGCATGATATTACATTTATTGTGTAGATTTTCTTGTATATCTAGATCGACAAATTTCCAGTCCGCACTACAAACTTAACTATTTATCTTTATATTCAAATGATAAATACATCAAAATGTTCTTTAATAAAAATATTTTAATAATTAGGAACCAAAGCAAAAAGAGATATATTCGCTAGGAACATTTAACGAGCAGCAATCGTCAGGAATGAAGGATATTTTCATTAAGAGTACTAAAGGTTTAGCAGACGTGATTGCACACTGGCCTGAAGTAAAAAAGTACGATTTGCTTAAACGATTAGTATTTATTGTTCTATTAAACAGCATAGTATTTATTGTTCTATTTTTTGTTTAATATTCATGATAACATTTTATATGACACAAGATAAATTTAATGAGGAAAAACAACAGAAAATAGCAAATCAAATACATACTATGCTGCTAATAGCGAATATTTATACGGTTTTTACATGATTTTATACAATTTTATATTTATTTCATTTGTATTTGCTAGATACTCGGAAAAAATTGCTAAACTCTCCGATCACATATATCAAATAGGAATAGATGCAACCAAACTCCGTAAGGAGGAATTTAATGTTATTACTCACGGTGATTTTCACGTGAACAATATGTTGTTCAGATATAACAATGATGGTAAACCTATCGATCATATTTTTGTAAGTATCATCATATTTACGTTAAAAATATTTTGTTTAATTTAGAAATGAAAATTTTATTATAAATACAATTACATGTAACAAAGCTTAATCACTTCATTTCATAAATTACTTCTTAATTTTTATGACAATTTTTATAGTTGTGTGCAATAATAAAAATTTAAATACAAATAAACAAAATGCATAGATAAAAGAGAAACACTGTTGTAATATTAACGCATTAATTATCCGCAATGTCGGCTTTAGTTATGAAGACAAACAGGCGGTAATAATAGAAAATATTTGAAAATGTAATATGCTATGGATAATGACCTTAGCCGTTTAATCATATTCAGCTATACATATATACTCGTCATTTTTCTGTCCATGTTGTCCGCGCAAACTATCAATCTTGTTATCAAACTTTCTGAATGACATTCCAATTGAAAGAATTCGTTTGATTATAGGTAGATTTCCAAATGTGCGTTTACGCAACACCGGTACTCGATTTATTACTTTTTCTCAATACAAGTCCTTCCTTGGATGTCATGGAAAACAAGAAAAATATTCTATTGAACGAATATCTTGACACCTTGTCAGCGACTATGAAAGAATTGAACTGCAAGACACAGGCGCCCACGATGGAAGAACTGAAGGCTACCATAAAGCGAAAAACTAGCTATGAAATGATAGTATTATTTGTCATTTTACCGTTTGTGCTGTGCAGTAAGGCTGAGCCGATAGATATGGATGAATTATTGAGCACTGGTATAAATCCAGGTTTTAAGAGCGAGATTTATAAAATTTTAATGATAAAAAGGTTGCCACTGTATGACGAATGGGGTTTATTGGATCTCTAATGTATACTTAGTGATAAAAAATAAAAATGGAAATATAAATATAAATTAAAAAATATTATGTAATAGTTAATAATAAAGTAATGGGACCCTATATGGCCTAGCTAATCTTTATGATTTTTTCTAATTTTTTACGAGTCCGAAATTGCAAATTGTCGGTCAAATATTCAAAAGAGGAAACATTCTTAAACATTTTTGCTGACCAGTTAAATTCATATTTTGAGTTTTTATTCGCAAGCATTACGTTACAGTTATTACATTACAAATATTACGTTACGATTATTACAAACGTTACGTACAATTATTACAATCGATTAATATTGATTAAGTTAATTCCAGATAGAAAATTTTATATATATTGAATCCATTGAATTTGATTTGAGTTATCTAAGTACTGCCCAGTTTTTCTGGCCAGTAATAATTTAACCTTTCAATACGACCGCGATATCAAATTACGCATATTGAAAATTGAAATTGAAGATTGAGAGATTAAAATTTGACGAATCAAAACAAAAGGAGCTAAAATTTTTTGTCCTTATTGGCTAAATTTCAATCTTTAATCTTCAATCTTAACCTTTAATATGTAGTCTAATTCCAGCCTCACTCATAGGGTTACCAACCGTACTCTTTTAAGAGTACATGTACTCTTTTCAAAGTCGGAAAACAGCGTACTCTTACTTTTTACTTATTGTACTCTATTTTGAGAAATGAGACGAAATTTAAAAAATTATTATTTAATATTTACATTTATTACTTTACAAAAAAGTTTTGCTTGGCTTGTACTAAGGCTTTGGCCATTATGTAAAATATAAATATTTATTTACATATTATATAGAGGTTTTGATAGAGATTTGGTTATATATATTTGTTGAAGAAACTTATAAATAGCAAAATATGTTAAATACATGAATCAATTTTATTTTCTCAATTTTATTAACATTAACATTAAAAAATCTGGAAGTAAAATATAAAGAAACATATTTATTCGTAACTTTATGAAGACTGAATAGACGTTGTCAATAAAAATTCTAAAAATGTCATTTTATTGAATGTCAGCATTTAAAATAAAAAAGTTCGTCATCTTTTTTCCTTTTTTTTTTAGAAAGTATACTCTTTTTGCATATCAATGTACTCTTTTCGTGCGACCAAGAGTTGGTAACTCTACTCACTCATATAGTAAGAATTATTACTGCACTGTCCGAGTTGATTCATTAGTAAATAAGGAAAAAGAAACGGCTTGTATAAACAGAGCTAAATTATCATCGGAAGCACATACCTTCTTATCTTAAATGTTGTGTTTATATATTTGTTATCTAATACCCCTTCTCCTCTTCCACAGAAGTTTCCTTCTTATCTTCTTTATTGAGGTTTGCGGCTCTTTGCCGTTGGTTCTGCTTCCTCATTTAGTTACTTTTCACGCTTACTTACTGGCTAAAGCATTATGTACATTCCAAGTCGGCATTTTACTTTCCCAATACGTTCTCACATCAGACTATAAGATTAAAATAATCTCATAATCTGTTATCTTATCTTAATTAATGGAAAGATTTGAATGAGTGGAAGGAGTTGCAGCTGAAAAGAGAGAACGAGAACGTGTTTTTACGCCGACCAATAAGTTATCGTAAAGAGTCGTTTTCGTGTTTTGTTACACGGCGAGAGAAACAATAATTTATCGAAGAAATTCTTCGATTCCAATTTCAATTTCAAAAATGGATCTAGAAACATTGACATGGCTGAATTTATGCTTTGTGGAGAAGATCCTGCGAAATTCGGAAAGTGATAATTCGATCCAGGTAACTGATATATCTTTGGAATCAGTCACGAGCAAGGGTGACAACTATACTAGTGACATAATCAGGATAATTGTCGACTTTTCTTACAATCAAGATGGCCTTAAGAATACAGAGAAGAAATCAATCATCATTAAAATCTCACCTACACTCGAAGGTGATCGAAAGAAACTTGTAAGTATTTAATTTATATAATATTTCTAATATATGGAAAGAGAAAAAAGAGAGAAATCCAATTGTGAGATTTTATTATTTCAAATAAATTTATACAGGCCTTATTTGAAAAAAATTTTTCGGTTGTTTGAAAACAAATTTATATGTAGAATAAAGTTGTTATTTATTTGTCATCCGAGCAGCTAAAACTTTTTATTACAAATATTTTTTATATAGGTCTTTATATTACAAAAAAATTGTATATTGTTAAATTTAAAAAATTCGATTATATATATTTCATAAATAAAAATTTCATTGATTGATTTTAAATAAATTTACAGGTCACACAATTAGATTGCTTTCATAATGAGGCATTGATGATGTCAGACACCTTGAATAAAATGAATAAATTGTTAGAACCAAACCATCGCTTGAGTGGGAAGATTCTCTACGTGCAAAATGAAAATCCAACGCTTTTAGTGATCGAAGATCTTGCGCCTCTGGGTTTTCGAATGGCCGATCGTTCGTCTGGTCTTGATCTAGCCCATTCCGTATTGGCACTTCGAGGACTAGCCAGGTTTCATGCAGCCTCCGTAGCCCTATGCGAGAAGGTAGGGTAAAAGCAGGGATTATGGAATAGCTTTTTTTAAATTAATATAACATTGTTCCAATATAAATGCATATGAAGACTTTAAATTTACACAGAATTCTTGAGGAATATGTTAGCTATAACATCCAATAAACGAAAGTCGCCAGTTAAGTCCAACGTCAATATTAACAAAAAAATCAAAAGTGAGAGGTCTAAAAAATAGGATGTAATATGGAATACCGATGAAATTTTGACCATAGTAATAAATAATACAATAAATGAAGTCCAAATTTGTTTATTTATGTAAACTGATCAAGAAAAATAGAAAACTGTTCACATTTTTATTGTACAATAACACAGAAAATATAATAGCATCATTGAACATTATTACGCATGGACAATAAAGAATACAATTAAATCTTGAATCAAATTAAATTATGACGTACAATAAATATTAGCATCTAAAATAAACATTATTCACAAGAAGAATCAAAAAGTTATATTCTCAACCCTCGATGTATTTCATATTACCTGCATGTCGTCATATAACAAAGTCTTTCCGTAGCAATAAACAAGTTTGAAATAGCAATTAATCTGCATAATATTGTTCATGCAACGTTATTAAAAGCGTCTGTGCAATATAAGCATTAAAAAAACTTACCTTCAGTTTGTGAGAACACTTTTTAGAAAAAGCTGCCGGATCTCCTGACGTAACGAAAATGAATAAATGTTATGAATAAATTGTAGCAAAACGGTTGGTCGGACTGAGTTCATTGCTTGTTGTGACACGTTTGATAACAGTTGCAATAACTTTCAACGATTACCGCCAGATTGCAATGCTTTGTTTAAAAAATAAGCCACTATTCCATATTAGTAGCCTATGCCATAATCCCTGCTTTTACCCTAAATCACCACGCATGAGTCACAATCAGTCGTAACATATTGTTGTAATTATTAAGAATTTAAGTCAATAGCACGAATACAAAGACCATGTCCAAAACCCAAATTTTTGCGTTAAGATTTCAATGTTAAACACAAAAATTATATATGAAATGTCACTTTGATTGCATGAACATCTCACTGCTACCAGATTCTTTTTTGTGCTATATTGTTCAAAGTATCTGTTAAAAATATAATACGTCGTAATCGAAAATATTTAAAAGTTTCATATAATAGAAATTAACTTGAAGTGGCACAACATATTAAATTTTATATGCTACAAAAAATATTGCCAAGAAATAATTTTCAGTTTGTAAAGCTTTAGAATAACTTACATACTTAATACATCTTATATAATCCTCAAGAATTTTTCATTTTTAATTGTAATATTAAACACAAGAATTTCATTTATATTAAAATTTAAGATGCTCCGCCTTTTATTACATTCTATGTTGTTTTTGTTTATGAAAAATAAAACTCCGTTGCGTTTATTAGCGACAGTACCGCGTATTGACCGAATTGCGTATCTTCTAATAAAAATGTTTTAATATTTAGGAACCAAATCAGAAAGAGATGTATTTGAAAGGAACATTCAACAAACAGCATCCGCCAGAAATGAAAGATATTTTCATTAAAAGTACTAAAGCTTTAGCAGACGAAATTGCAAACTGGCCAGAAGTAAAAAAGTAAGATTTTTGCATAAACGACAGTATTCATTGCTCTATTTTTTAATATTCAAAATAACATTTTATATGACCCAAGATAAGCGTTTATCATAAAGAACTAAACATGTTAAATAGAAAATTGCAAATATAAGTATAAATTGCACTGTTTAGAGCAGATATTTGTATAGTATGTACATAAAATTTTATGCAACTTTATGTGATTTTTATTGCTAGATATTCGAAAAAAATTGCTAAACTTTCCGATCACATATATGAAATAGGAATAAACGCAAGCAAGCTGTTCGAGGATGAATTTAATGTTATTAATCACGGTGACTTTCAAATGAACAATATATTGTTCAAATATATTGTTCAAAACAACGATAGCAAACCAATCGATTATATTTTTGTAAGTACTATCACCTTATTAAAAAATTATGTACTTCCTCTGAACACGAGTAGGTACTTATTGATTTATTGTAATCGCAGCTTTATGTTGCAACTAAGATTAAATACAAAAATTTATAAAATCTAATTTGCACTTGCACGAAATCTAACTTATATTATTGAATGACGTTGAATGACGTTCCACTTCTTTTGCGGTGAATAAATTTCGTTTCCAATTGGCTCAAAAAATTGATCGATCGAAAAAATTCGTTTGATTACAGGTAGATTTTCAAATGTGCGTCTATGGATCGCCGGCACTCGATCTTCACGGTTTTCTCAATTCAAGTCCTTCCCCAGACGTTATTGAAAACAAGAGACATTTTCTGTTAAACGAATACCTTGACACCTTGTCGGCGACTATGAAACAACTGAACTGCAAGACACATCCGCCCAGTATGAAGGAATTAAAGGCTATTCTAAAGCGAAGGGCTAGTTTTGGAATGATAATATCCTTCACGGTTTTACCATATATGCTACGCTGTCAGACTGAGACAGATTTGAATGAGATAATAAGCACTGGTACTTTTATATATCCAAAGAGCGAGAGTTTTAAACAATTAATGATAAAAAGACTCCCACTGTATGATAAGTGGGGTTTATTAGATCTTTAATGCATACTTCACCATTAGTGATAAAATATAAAAATTAAAAAGAAATAAAAGTAATAGACATAACTATAGCGAATACATTAAAATTAAAAATCGATATATGCGAAATGTTGATGTAAACAAACTTGTTTTGTAAAAAGGAGACATCGAGAAATTATTATGATGATGACAGATTTTTTAGTTTGAAAAATCAAAATGATTTTTTCATAGCATTTATGATTCATTATAAGGTTTTAAAATAATCGTAATCTTTATATTGTATATTGTACATATTGTATATATGTATACATACATTTAAATATTATTGTTTTTTCGAATAAGTTTTGAACAAAACTATATTAAATAAATAAAAAATATAAAAGCAGAATATATACATATACATATAAAAATGTTGATATACAACCTGACCAAAAATATTAGACATCTAATTAACCATTAGAACGTTTCAGTTAAAAAATTGTTTTATGGCATTTACTATGAATTATCCTTTGTTTCAAGAAAGTTTTAAATTTATGTACAATGTCGGTAATTAATACGAAACAATACAGTTAACAAAATTTCAAATTAATGAAGAAAATGTAAGAGACTAATATTTTTGACACACGGTCGGTTCAACTTTACATGCTAGTGTTTGACACGACATTTAGTCGTCGATACATCGGTTTAATATTTGTAAAAGAAATTATATTTATATTTCCGATATACAAAATTTTAGAAATTTCATTTTTTTAACTAAATTGTTTTACAAGGCGTTAGTATGTGTACTGTCAGAAGCAATGCGACACTTTTTTTCCGATGAGTTTAAGAATACGCGACCAAATTCAAGATTCTCATGTGGCGAATCTTTCTCACGTGCAATGAATAAAACACATTTAACAAACCTCATATGATCATATTCATTCATTGTATGTACATACATGAGAGGGATTCGCATCCTGAACTTGATAGCGTATTCTTAAACTCATCGGAAAAAAAGTGTCGCAACCTCATTGCTTTTACCCGAAATTGCTTTTACCTGAAATTAGCTATTTAAATTTAAACTGGTTTGATATTTGTTATAAAATGGCGATGTATACTGCCACTTTTTCGTCGATTGTCGGTCGATCTCAAGCCGACACTACCGAAGATACGGAAAACACTGAAATAACTGTGAAGAAAAAATGTCTCGAGCAAGGATTCACAGAGTACGATCTCTGTCCATTCGTGAGTAAAAAAATATTTAAAAAATAATGCATCATTGACGGATCTATTTTTCTATTTATCATTTTTTTATTTAACACAAAAATTGTTGCTTTTCTTCAGAAACTACAGTGGTCCTTCGGATTAAATCCGGAAGTACCGGTCATAAATCTAACTACTAAAAATCGTGCATTATTGGCATACGCCTGTTCTCACGTGGCGATAATTTATGACTATAGTTCAAAGAAAATGTTACCACTCCTAGGTCATGTTGGTATACGTTTGAGTTTGCCGCGAAACAATAGTAATTATAAATAAAATACTGAAGAAAAATCTTATAATCTTTTTTAGCGAAATCCTGTTAAAACGTTATCAACCTCGCGTGACGGCAAGTGGTTACTAACAGCGGATTCCGGAGAGGACAGTGTAGTAGTGGTTTGGGATACAGAAAAAGGGTAGCTATTGTTTTTATCCGAAATTGTTTTGCAAAGTTAATCTAGTATTACTTTGAGACTTATGTGTTAAAAAGTTAGCGGAATTATCAACATTCTTAGGGTTCCCGTTTGCACATTATTTAATCCACATAACAGTGAAGATATCACAGCTGCTGCTATTAGTCCTAATGCTAAACAAATAGTCACCGTTGGCGGTAGAAAATGTCAGAATGTGCATTTTTGGTTATGGACTTATGGAAGAGACAAACCAGATGGTTCGTTATCTTCTGTACATTCATTAATTATTTCCTCTTATTAAAAAATTTAATATGATATGAAACATTAATATAATATTAAATTAAGAAGCGCCATAACGGTCAGAACGTTAAGATGTTGAACTATTGTAAATTCATTTAAATGAATTAATTTCAGAAATGATAATTGCGTGCCGATATGGTTGTCGGACTTTCAACGCAATCAAATCTGAAAATATTAATAATCCCCCCAAATTCCCCATTTGCGTTGAAAGTCCGACAACCATATCGGCACGCAATTATCATTTCTGAAATTAATTCATTTAAATGAATTTACAATAGTTCAACATCTTAACGTTCTGACCGTTATGGCGCTTCTTAATTTAAAATTATTATGTTTAACATTAGCGGTCTTTCAATCTTATTATTATTAATATAATATATTTTTATATTAATTATTGTCAAGAATCATATCCTTTTTATATTACTATATTATTGTATAATTATTATTTATTTACACAAAAAATACGATCACTACTAAAATTTTAAGAATATTTATAATTGTTGAATAATCCAGGATTAGCTAATTTAAAATATTTTTAGCATCGACTTCGTTAATCAACATTACTGAACGTGTCAAGGGAATAACTTTTAACGACGAATGTCCAGAACAATTTGCATTGACGACTGATTATCACGTTTTATTCCTAACTTGGGTTGGTAAAAAATATATCATTACATATTTGTATAATCATATTACATTTTAGTTGACAGAAGACAATGATATAACGAAATGATGATATTATATAAATAAGTAAAATAGAGTTTTGAGATGTTTTCATGCAAAATTACTGTCCTTACATACACAAAATTTCAAATTTTGTTCTTTAAAAAATAGATGTTACAAATATAGTTAGATTTTGTATTAATTATGCAAAAAAGATAATATAAACATCATTTTTTTTATTAAAATTGAAAAGGAGAAATGTTGAAAGAAAAAACTTTACATAAAACTATTTTATCCAACATTTGATTTAATTCTTAAGGTATGACGTACTTCAATTACAAAAAATTTCTTGTGTATAACAATAATAATAATGACAATAATAATAATTTTATTTAAGTGTAAAAGATGAGAAATGTATTTTACATATAAACAAAATAATAGAAAGTAGTACCTCACAGATGAACTATGATGCTACTTGACTCTTGATGTACACATATTTGATATAAAACTAATAATAATGCACTAAAATAGATAGTTTGAGAGAATCATTGATATAATAAATATCAGTAAAAATTATAATAAAAATGTAAACCATAAAGTATGATCAGACATAAAACTTTACATAAAATAAAATAATATAATGTGTTTCTTCTTAATTTCATAAATAAGAATGGTCACGCTTTGAACTACGATTGTCCCAAAATTATGACAAAAGTACAACATATTGGTGTCTTTAATGCATCATGCTACGTTCCAAAAATACAACAAGTATTTACAGCAAGTACAAATGGTATCGTCTGTATTTATTAATAGTTTATTAATAACTTAATTACCTATTAAATAATATTTTTCTTATATTGCTATTATTTTAGGCTACATTTTAGTATGGAGCAATGTTTTCTGCAAAGACAAGCACGCTTCTGATACTAATTATAAGAAGAAAAAACATAAAAAAACTCTTAATTTACAGAAAAGCAGTATTACTGTTATTATTGATTACGGAGGGTATATGAATTTAAAGCCTAAAATCACTTTAGTAAATCCAGTGGTAGTCGTGCTCTTAATGTAATTAAATTTTGTAGTATGCTTGTTACGGGAAATTCAAATGGTCGTGTTACTTTCTATGATTATCAATTGAGACTTTTGTATTGGTATGAAAGTTGCGATCTTGATTCCATTCGATGGCTAAGCTTTGATCTTCAATCTAATTTGTTAGCTCCGGTATTTGCCGTCGATGTATCTGAAAGTATGCTTTATTTTGAAAGAATCCCCTGATAAAAAAATTCTTATATCTCAAAGTTTATTTAGAAGTTTTAAAAAATTCAGAAATCTATATAGACCATTATTGTTGTTTATATAGTTTGAAAAATTATAAATGAATTTTAAGGGAGACGTATGCCCAGTAGCAAAACGGTTTCAAAACTCACTGTAAATGCGGAATATATTTCACAAAATTACAAGAGTAATAAGACCGCCGAAACTAACAAAACAACATTGAATTCTTTGTCAACGGATGCTACTCTACGGTGTTCTCCATTTAATGTCCGAAATTTTCTTGTGTGTAAGAACTAATTCTTGTAATAATTACCGTATTATATGAATTATATAACGTTAAAACATCAATATATATATATATATATACAAAACACGTATTATTCGATATATTATCACATTCCTTTTTTGTCTATATTTCGCTTTAGGTTCTTCTGCGGGAATAATAGCATTGATGGAAATTACAAAGCAGAAATGTCACTTTGTGTTTCGTCATCCGGTTGCAATTGTGACTAGTATGGACAGTCATCCAGAAAGGTGGAAAAATTTCAAATTAGCTTAGCAAGATTTATTTATTTCTGTTGAAATAAATATAATATAATAACAATAGTAATTTTTCAACGACAGCAATTATATGGTTGTGGGCGACGCTCAGGGAACCGTACATTTATACAATCATGAAAAGTGCACTCTGATAACATCTTGGAGCACGCCACCTCTTCCAGACTATCGGCCGATTTTCGAAAAGCAGAAGATTGAGGAAAATATTGTTTATGTCACCTGTCCGCAAAGTCACGAGACCCTGAAAGCCGTTACGGCTCTGAAATTCTCACCAAGATGTATATACATAAATGATGTATCTGATACTGATAAATCTTCAATGTCTCTTTATTATTAAAGGAAGAAAAGAAAATTCATGAAAAGAATGTTTATCATTTTTTAGGCGATATGTTAGTGAGTGGTTTAGAGAATGGGGCGATCTGGATTCTACATCATATCACCTTAGATCCTATAGATGAAATACCATATAAACATTCTTCGACAGCCATTAATAAAATTACTTTCACACGGTGTGCCGAATACATGGCTTATGCAGTAAGAAAATCCCGCATTCCATGATATTTCGCAAATAATATTGCACGTTATGACAATAACTTTAATTACTTATTGATTAAATATTAATTAACCGACTCAAAAGGTCAATAAAAATTTTATTTGTTTGTAGGATAACGCATTGACTGTAGTAGTATTCAAGAGAAATGGTACGACCGTTGCTTCAAAGGATTACAATTTGTGGAACTTGATCGGAAAATATCACTCGCATTACTTACCTATCAGAGATATACTTTTCGGCCCGGTTGCATCCAATTCCGATGTACCGCGGTTTTTCTCTTTAGGAGAGGATCGAGAGCTCGTCGAATATGATCTCGCGCACAGGTTGTAAATATCTCATTGTGTTATTCGTGGAAAATACAGTTTAATCGATTTGATTGAAATATTTATATGCGTAAATGTGATTAAAAATGATGTTGTGAATGAGATTAATGTAATGGAATTATAAATGGATGAGATATTATATAAAGTAATAGAACGAATATTTATGTCAGTCATGATAAGAGAGAAATGCAAAACATGATTTTAATAACATTTGACTTTTATGATTTTCTGGATTTGAATCAGAAACGTGTGTTTGTATTTCGAAAATTTATAAAACTTATTTTATGATTATTTTATACAAAAAAAGACTAGTATACTATTACAACCTTGAATCGCGATTAACGTAGCGATTTAGACTCTTTAGTTAAGTAACTATAAGTATTTGAAGAAAGTAATAATTTTCCTTTTGAAGAGGATAATGTTTTACATTTTATAATTACATTACAGCGGACCATATCCAGTGCCAGGACTTCAAATCTTGCGTATCGATCGAATCGAACAAAGTGCCGTTCCTCTTTGCCTAGCGTGGTACCCCGTGTCCAGCATTGAAAAATTCCTCATGATCTCAAATTCTGAAGTAATAGTCCTACGATTCGGTTAGATCATGTGAGCAAAACGTAATTATATTAATCCATAATTGCAGTACAAATATAAGATCTTCAGTGATGCTACCAAGGCAATTCGCGGTACTTATTTAGGACCCATATTCAAAAAGCCAGTGGAACATATTCAAGTAACACAAGAGATATATAAGATACATATAACTGTTTATATAACTATATATAGAAAACGTTAATTATAGTAGAAACATTGAAAAGATATTTTAATAGATATGATTAAATTTTAAAAACCATGGAAATAGTTAAAAAATTAAGTGCATAATATCATATTATTATAAGCAGGTAATTAAACTGCGTTTCTTTTCTTCAGAAATATCCGTTAAATATTTTATAACATGGTATAAAATATATAATTAAAGAACAAAGAACTTATTTCCAGAATTTATATTTAATTCAAACTTTCTCTTTTTCTTGATTTATTTATCAGAGAAATGCCCTCGCTTCGTAATTAATCAATTACTGTGTCAAAAATCGCTACAATTTTGTTAGATCTTAACCGATAAACTTAACAACGGCTATGTGGTATTTGCGACCGATAGAGAAATTGGTCTTCAGTTAATGCCTTTTGATGGTAATCCGTACAAGATTGTCGGCATAACAGGCCATCCTCAAAAAGTTAGATATTCTGTATATATATTTACGTTTAATAGCTGGCATACACGAGTATCATGATCCATATTTATTTACAGATAATAGGTATCTCTGTTAGCAACAATAAAGAAATACTTTTTACCGCAGGTTACAACGATCCATGTGTGTTAATGTGGAAAATCAAACTGAAGTTAGTTGCCTCGACCGTATTGAATTTTAATATAAAGAATTTTTTAAATCACAAATATTTTTTCTAATACTGAAAAAATCACTGGTTATTATACAAGCTCGTTCTATTAAATTTGAATATACGAACGAAAAATTCATTTACTTCGATTGTGTGCAAAGCTAAATTTCTTGGTTCTGACATCATCGTTTAATGACTTTAATGAATATAACGAATTTTATCATCAAAAACACAATTTTTCCAGATCTGTTGACATAATGGCACGATTAGGCGGAGAAGGACTATCGCCGTTTTATTGCCTCATCAAAGGTGGGAAAAAAGGATGGTTAGCAAACGAGATAAAGGATCTGTTCTATTATGGACAGATATTACATCAAGGCGAGAATATGATCGCTGTTAGAACCGTCTCCGACACTGTGGTTGTCGAGCAAATTCCAAATCTTATGCGAGCTATTGGATATTTTCCGACCAACAAAGAAGTATAACTTTTCGTATTATCATGAAGCAGTATATGTATACATATGCAATGTTTCACAAGTCAGAATTTTAATTTTAGATGTTGACCCCTTTGACAAACTCCGGAAATATCCTTTTTTACTTTTTAAAATGTTTACTTTTATGATTGAAGTCATTTTTTATATTTTTTTTTACATTAAACATCTTTCTTCTGCCACAAATTAAAAATTTTCAAATATAAAATTGTTTATGTCAAAGTAAGCAATAAATAAAACAATTGTTTTTGTGTTCATTAATTGCACGAAAATTATAATAAAAGATTCATTTGCTTTGAGATATTGCATTTTTTTGTGTTAAGATTTGCTAAGATAAAATATCTGTTTTTAAGGTAGAGAATATTATGACAGAAGTATGCTACAAACGTTACGTTGAAACCGGTAAATTTGTCGAAGAGATCACTTTTGAAGAATTCATACGACTGTATGTGAATCACCGACCGGTGTTTGGAATTTGCATGCGTCACGTAAAGGAAGCTTTTCGTACGTTTATCGAAGAAAATTCCGACATGGAAAATCCTACTTTAACGCGAGAGCAGCTTGTAAATATTTTACTAGGAGGAATGGTATCGAAAACTTTACTGGAAGAAGATAAACTTATTGGTGAATTAATTATTAGTTAATACGAATGCTATTATTACGACGTACCATTAATTCTCCGGAACTGGTATCAAAATCTGTAAAACAGATAAATCTATAACACATTTAACTTATGTTTGTTAAAAGGCACTAATTAATTTCAAAAAGAAACCAAAATGTAATTCGCATTAAAAAATGAATTTAGATTCATATCCTTTAAGAAAATACATATTAATAAGAATAATTCAAATTTGCAAATGTAACATAAAGAAAATTGAATTATTTTAACAGATTTATATTTGAGAGTGAGCCTAATAGACCTACCATTAACTTCGGAGAGTTGATTGATTGGTTTATTGATTTCGCCATAAGTATAATTATCAAATTTTAATCTAAAAAAAAGCAGGACTAATAAAATACTAGAGACTATTATCTCTTTATTTAATACTTTATTAGTCTTGCTTCTATTTAGATTATACATTGTATTTTAAATTAAGTGCACATTAGTAAATGCAACAAATTATTTCGAATAAACAAAACATAGACATTATCAAAATTTGAATAAACAGAATGTGTGTGTGTGTGTGTGTGTGTAAAATAAAACAAATTGAACTTGCACTACTTTCAAAATATCTTAATCGTTGTTCAATATTTCTTATTATTTTTTATATTATTATTTGCCGTAGGTGAACCGTTAACTTTGCAAGAAGCATATACATATCTCAAGACACTCATGTTTCCTAAAGAGGAAATGATTGAGATTCAACCAAGTCTGTCTCAAAGATCCATATCCTTCAATTTCCGTTTCCTTCCGGCGGTAACTATCTCCCTCGTAATATGTTTAAAAACACTATGCAAATAGGCCATAAATAAGATAAACTAGTAGTTAGGCTTCCCGAGAGTAATGTATTATTACGTTATGATACAGAGGATATCTTACAAAGATTTCACCATGGACATCATGGGTGTTGAATCGTTGGAGGAAACTATGGCTGACAATTGAGAAAATCAGCACGACGGTTACTTGAAGTATTCTAAGAGGAAATTTTTTACAGCTATGTACCGCTGTGACAAGGTCCGTTAAAAAGAGCTTGATAAACCAAAGAAAAAAAACTGCGCGCGCGACTGTTTCGTTCTTTTAAAATTAAAATTAAGATTAAGAGAGCGCTAGAAGAAAAGACTGGCAGAATCGTCGCCGGCATTTGTCCGTCGTTTGCTTCTTCGGTTCGCATAAAAATATTTAAACTATACAACACACGAAACTCAAGGAATAATGTAAAAGAGCATGACGTAGATTCGTTTCCTCGTACTTGTTGCTGTAATACTGTTCAGCAAAATTTTCAATAAACATTTCGTAATCATTATTTCTAATATTATAGTACTTGCGATTGCGCATCGTTATTTTATCAATCAACAGTTTATAGCCAAAGAACGTCTATCTGTCTATTCACCGATATTTGTAAACCCGTACAATAAAATTAATACAACCACAGACAATTACCATAGACCGGTTTTTTCTACGTGGTATATAGAATTGTCAGCGGAAGAGATGTTTTGATTGTTGAAAGAATAAGATTTTATTCCAAGACAATACCTATATGATAGACTAGAAGCAAGGAAAGATTCGCCTTCCGAGAGGTACATTGCTTTAAGGAAGCGCTATACAACAACATTCGCTACACCGCATCGTCATCATTAAAGAAACCAATCAATGACACTTAGCGTATATAGCGATTTAAAAATTTAGAATAGTTTTTGATATCAATAAAAAAAGAAGATAATCATTTCCGTACCCGCGGTTTTAGAAAAATTAAAAAGACCGTGGTACAGATACTGCCAGAAATACTAATCTCAAGTCGAATTGCAATCAGGCGATTCAAGTGAAGATTCTAAGATTCGTGAGACGCAACCCTGCCACATTATTAGGCTCGCGTACGATTTCGCATTGTTACCTATACTATCATCAACAAGGTACCATTAAACACCGACTTATAGAAATTTATAGGATTCTTGTGTTAGCTTATATTATATTAATTTTATTCAACTAAGTAACGAGACAATTCAGACTTATCAATCTGAACTGGATGTCAGTACCTAAATAATATTAATATGTATCTAGTTCTGTAAATTGCTTGCCGAAATAAAGAAATAGAACTGGATGGATGGAAAATGTGGAGATATATGTATGGACCCGTATTCAGAACGCGCTTTTATCGATAAAAGCGCGCTTTTATCTCTGAAATTCTATAATATGCATGACATAAAGTATAGTATGTTAGCACGCTAACATCGTATTGTAAACGCGTTCTGAATACGGGCTAATGACTACAGCAGACTACAGTAAATATATATATTTACTGAGTTAACACTTTGACTGTGACATATATATATATATATATTTCACACCGAAATATTATTTAAGCGTTAACTGTAAGATCTATCTCAGATCGATAAGACTTCGTTATTTAGTTGTGTGGTCATATGCGGTCTAATGTTGTTTATTGTTAATTTTATTATTATATAGACATCTGACAACGTTTATTACGATATTGTATTTTCATTTAAAATTGTATTTCCATTCGTGTTCATCCATGTAAATAATAGTTGGAAAAAATGTAGTTTTCAGCAATATACATATATTGTTGTTGTAAATATGTATGCTTATTTATATGAAGCGTCTGTATAATAAATCATCAATTAATATTGTTACGCTAATTCAGATATAGTTGAAAAAAAATCTTGTTGATAATGATACCTTGTCGGTGATATTATCTACCTACCTACTTATTCATCTATCTACCAATGCTATGTATTTATATATGACACCGTCGTTAAAAGAAGTACAAAGAAATGTACACAAAAAACCTCATTTCATTCTTATAATTCTAAGACGTATTTACATAGTATATATACAAACACTCGTGTGTATTGGCTTAAGAAAAATATCAACATGGAACAGTGTAGCAATTTTTTTCTTTTCATACGCTCGTGAAAAAGAAAGGAGGAAAATTCTAGTATTACGCCTAAAAAGCAACGATCGCTCAAATTTGGTAATAACATGCCGTTGTCATTAACATCCCGCGTGGCAACTATCAATCGCAGTACTCATCATTTTGCACGATACCGTGTTTCTTTCTGCAGTCCGGGCAGTACCACCTGCCCTTGGGCGGCACCATTATACCAACACATTCGAAATGAAACCACTCGATGCGGCAGTCCTCACCGTCACAGGCTATCATCTCTGATACCTCATCATACGGACATCGACAGTAACAATAGATCTTGCCGGGTCGCTCCGTCGTCGGCGCGTTAACAGGTGGTATTGTTGGTTGGTTGATTTTCGGCTGGTTTACGATATTCTCCGTCTCAGATTCGCTGCTATCGCTGCTGCTCTCCGCGGGACCCTCGGACTCGGTGGCGGATGTCGCTGCGACGATTGGCAATGCCTCGGGTAGAGGCGTTTGCTGTTGGCTCGCTGTTTGCTCCACCTGAGCGGACCTGTTACTATACGTCTGTATAGTCTTTCCGCCCAAGGACAATCTCGACACCAGCGGTTTCGGATTCGTCGGCGTCATCGTCATCGTGGACGGCAGCGGTGTAAAAGCCGGGATAGTGGTGGCGATTGTGGAAGTGGTTGTCTCGATTTTCCGCCATCGGCTGAACGACTGTTTTTCTTGTGGTTCGTCGTCACTTGAGTCGCCGTAAAAGCGCTTCGGCACGCGTTTCCTCTTCGAAACTCTCTTGTTCTCCGTCTCCGTGCCGCCGTTGCCACCGACATTTTGATTCGGTACGCCGATGACAGCGGTGGCCGATAATGCTTGCTGCTGTTGTTGCATTTCTATCGCAATGCTCGTAGCATTGCCGCTGTGGAAGTCGTTGCATGTTGCAGCTGACAATAGGTTCGGCGTCGAGGATCTGCTATTAGGATGCAATGCCAGCGTTGACTGCGACGATGCAATGAATCCTGGATTCTTTTGGTAAAGTGCCTTGGGAATGTTCAGTTTGATCGATTCTACGGTGGCTGTAATCGCGTTACGCTTACCGCCCCTTTCACCCTTTCGTCGTTTCTTCGTCTTCGTTTTCTTCTTTTGCTGCTGGTGCTGTTGTTGCAATTGTTGGTTCTCAATGGTCATTGTAATCGGATCGGGTGCCGTTTCCGCGACTAAAACGCCATTATTCAGTGGCATCGATGATTGATCCATCACCGGCATCAACGTCGAGGTTGGCGTCGAGGTTGGCGTCGAAGTCGGCGTCGATGCCGGCGCTACACTAGCTAGTAGTAACAACTGATTGCGCTTCTCCGCCATTAACTTATTAGCGAGCAACTGCGGATACTCATCGTAGAAATCCTCATCTGTTTCGGTTTCCTCAGTTTCCAAATCAGATTCCCGCAAGAGAAGCTTCGCTGGAGAAGGTTCTCTCGTTATCTCGGGGACCACAGGACCATTCTCTATCGCAACCTCCGGCTTGTCTTCCAGCTTATCCTCCGGCTTGTCTTCCAGCTTATCCTCCGGCTTGTTCTCCGGCTCAACGGACTGCGATTTGTTCTCCCGCATAGCTTCTCTTTCCTTCTTATTCCGGTCCTTACGATTGCTGGATTGCTTTCTGGGCGAACTCTCGGACGCGGAGCTGTCGGAATCGGAACTGCTGCTAGAACTGGAGGAGCTGCCAGACGAAGAGCTGCTGCAGCTACAGTTGGTGCCACACGAGCAACTGCTCGAGTCGGTATCGCTCGAGGAGTCGCTCGTAGATGATGTGCTGCCACTCCGCTTTTTCTTCTTAGGAGTCTTTACCTTCCGTTTGTTCGCGTCGCTGTCGCCTCCAGTATTGCGACTCGGAGTACCGGGTGACGGACTTCTTTCAGATTTGGTATCGTTCGCTTTCGTGTCATTATCCTTAAAAGTAACTTGATCTTCATTCTTCTCTTTGTCGGACGAATTCACTACGCAATAATCATGATCAGAAAAGACGATACTCCTTAAATACGCCGCGTCGGTCTCAGGTACGCTCTCTTTCAACGCGACATTCTTGGCGGATTCCTCTACGTCCAAACTGGCAGCGTACGTCTTAAAATTGTCCCAAATGCCATCCATAATGCGCGCTTCCTGCTTTTTCTCCTCCTCGTTCCGTTCCACTTCAACTATATCATTGTTCAACACGGCACTGTCATCGTCATCGGCAGCGATTGTTTCAATAGGTTCATTCTTCTTTGCCACGTCTTCATCGATATTTTCTTTCTCCGGTGGTTTTTCCGTGGAAGCGGATTTCTCCTCCTCGCTATCAGTATCACTTTCGGAAGATAGATTGAGCGGCGGTAGATCGTAAACATCAACTACTTTTTTCACAGCCTCTTTGACGTTCTTCGACGTAGTCTCGACTCCCGTCATTAGGTCTCCATCGGTTATGGTCACGGATGTGTTCCTATCTGATTTCTCGTCCTTGTCCGTTAGTGCAGTGTTAACGACATCCGTCACGTTCACATGGACGTCCTCAGGTTCAGGTTCCCTATGAGCCGCTTGATGCTTAGCTAGGAGCTTTCGCGATATGAAACGCTGTTCGCACTCGTCACAGCCATATGGTGAATCGCCGGAGTGCAGCCTTTTATGCACTTTGAGCGCTACCGCGCGTCCAAAACTCAAGCCGCATTCCTCGCAAACGAACGCTGTGGGCGGTATACAGAAATGATATATGTGCGGCCATTTCTTCTGCAAGCATTTTCGACACAGGACACTCTCCGTGCCGTGTTTCCAAAATAGATGTTTCGTAATATCCGGTTTATTACGGTACGCGATGCCGCATCTGTAACACAAATGATGTAGCTTGTGCTTCCATACGTGATTCGAAAGACGCTGCTGATTGCCTGTAGACTCCAGACATGAATGCCGACGGCAGGTTTGCTACAGAGCAGAGACAACATCGATATCGTAGATTGACATTCGGCGAATAAACTCCAGGACACAGGTGGCACACCAACTCGCTGTAACTGTAGAATGTCGATTTGCACATTATGCAAATCAATATGGTCTTCTGATGCATCTTTCGATTATGCAAGTACAGCTCCTTGTGCACTGTCGAATGAAATCTACAATGAAAACACTCGTATATCAATACATTCGGCACATTATACGTGCCGTCCGCGCTGTTATACGTATCTAAATTGAAGTAACGGGACTCGAGCTCGTCGAGGGACCTCTTCACCCGCGCAGTGAACTGCTCCGCGTGTATGATTATCGCGGGATGCTGCGGTTGAAACTTGTGCTCCGCCAGCATGTGCAGGCCCAGTTGTCTGCCGTTGACCGCGATGTACCGTGCATGATTGCAGTACACGCAGATGGGACTGGCTACCTCTATGCAACGTTTCAACAGATCCTCCAACTCCATGCTGTCCAGAGTGCCCTCGACGTTCAAGTCAATACATGGAACATCCTCGCCGGCTAACATAATACCACCATCGTCGATCGTATGACTTTTCGTTTGCTCGTTCGCAACACTTTCAACTGCGTTGTTGACGGACGTTTCACTGGTGTTGCTAATCGGCATCGTTTCCGTGACAGAGAATAATCCGTCAGTATATGTCCCAGTTCTATCTTCGTCATTTTCCTCTTGATTCCTTTGATCCTTGCCTTCCTTTTCGTCGTGCCTTTCTTCAGTCTCGTCAGCTTCACCCTCCTCGCCATCTTCCGCTTCCTCATCTTCTTCCGGATTGCTGTCTACTACCGCCAATTTATCGCTGTCAGAATCACTATCGTCCAGCTCGTTTGCTTGATCATCGTCAATGATGTCCCTCCCAGTTTCCGAACCGTTCGGCATTCTCTCTTTCGATGTCGACCCTTCAGCGTTGTTGTTTTCCTCAGATTCCCTACTCGTGACGGTGGTTGTTGCGACGCTGAATTGCGAGTTCCTGTTGCAAATCTTAATGACCAAACTCCTATCGGAAGAAGCAACGGCGTTAAACGAGACCGAGGCTTGAGATTCAGTGGCGTTTGTCGCGACAGGTTTCTCCACC